AAAAAGAATCACCTAATGCAGGAGCAAATGGCAAGAAAACTACTTAAAAAAAGTTTTTTTGATGTTTAAACTATACATGACATGAATCCTTAGAAATGTAGCTCCAGTTTTGAAACAAGCAACACAACTCCACTAGAGTAACAAGATGATGTTAGAGAATTTTAAACACTGAAAACTTATCACCAAGTTTACTTCCCCTGATGTCTAAGGTCACGAGAGTTTCTCACGGATATCTTGCTACCACTACTGCACCAGCAATCTACAAATTGCCACAGAGAATACTCAACTAAATTCAGTTCGACTCATCATGTACTACACTTTGGACACAACACGACCAATAAGTTTTAATGTTGAAAGCAATTATTAATGGTAAATATTTGATGCCTCAAGGTCCATCAACGATAATGCTGTCACGACCCTAGACCCGAACCCAGTCCTGATGGCGCCTCTCGTGAAGACAAGGCCAGCCAATTAACCCAATTCACCTTTTAAAACAGTTAAACAATATAAAGCCGTCTAAAACATGATTTAATAATATTAAGTAGCGGATAATATCAATAAAGTGCGGAAGTGTAACCCAACACAACCCTAACCGAGGTATCACAAGTCATGAGCATCATTAAGTCATAATACAAGTCTTCTAAGTCTATAAACTAGTACATCTATCTGAAACAATATAGAAATTATAAAGGAGGAGAAACACGGAAACTGTGGACGCCAAGCAGCTACCTCGTGTACTCTGAATGTCCGCTTGAAGCTGGAAGGATCAGCACTCGGGAACGGATGCAGCTACGTCTGAATCTCCACACAGGGTGCAGGGAGTAAAGTGAGTACTCCAACTCAGTGAGTAACAAATGTAAATAATGACTGAAAGTAAGAAAACACATAAGGCACAAGGCATTCTATAATGAAGCAGTAAAATCAGTTAAAAACAGTAAACTAGTGAAAAGTCAAGTAAAATCCCTTTTCCAACAATGAACAGGTAATTGACAGACAATCAAGGTATAGTAAACAAATAGAAACTCGCCCCTCGGGCTCAATCTCACATCACAATGGGTATCCACGCTCACTGGGGTGTGTAGACTCCTGGAGGGGCCCCTTACGGCCCAAGCACAATAACAAGCCATATCGTGGCATCAAATCTAGGCCCTCGGCCTCATATCAATCAAGCCACCTCGTGGCGTACATATCTCAGGCCCTCGACCTCAAATCAGTATCAGTGTTTCCTCACAACATTGGCCATCGGCCTTACTCAGTCACAAATCCTCACAAGCCCCTCGGGCAATAGTAAAACAGTGTTTCTCAGCACAAACATAATTAAAATATCATTTAAGTCTCACAACTGAGTAAAAATGGCTGACTAGTAAAACGGTGGAAAAATAACATGACCGAGTTCAAGTAATAAGTTAAACTAGTGAGGAAATATCAGTAAAAAGCCCTGAACGGTTCAAATAGTTGGCACGAAGCCCAAATATGGCGTCCAGCCAAATCATAATGATAGCAAATAAGTCTCAGTCAAATACGCAATAGTGTACGACCCCACGCTCGTCAACAAGCGTGTGTCTCACCTCAACATAACACTACGATGTATAATCCGGGGTTTCAAACCCTCAGAACATCATTTACAATCATTACTCACCTCGAACCGGCTAAATCTCTAGTTCACGACGCCTTTGTCCCTCGAATTGGCCTCCACGCGCGTCGAACCTAACCAAAATCAGAAAGAGGACGTCAAAATATGCTAAGGGAACGAAGCCCAAGCAAAAATAATCAACAATTAGCACAAATCCCGAAATTACAACCCGACCCCCGGGCCCACGTCTCGAAATTCAGAAATTCTTACACCAATTGACTCCTTATCTTCCCACGAGTTCATACATACCAAAAACTTAGAAATTCGACCTCAAAAGGTCCATCAAAACCTCAATCATAGGTCTCCAATCCTAAACCCTAGCTTTCCCTAAATTTCACCCTTAATTTCCATAAATTCTAACTCTAATCCATGAAATAATAGCATAGGAATGAGTTTTAGGTCCAAAATCTTTACCTCAATGATGTTCCCTTGAAATCCCTCTTTCAAATCGCCCAAAAAGCTCCAAGGCCGAAGTCAAAAATGGTGAAATAACCCAAAATTCGTGAAGGACTTCTTTTAATTCTTCTGTCCAGTCATTCAGCATCTGCGGCACTATAGCCGCTTCTGCGGTACCACATATGCGGTCTTACCTCCGCATCTGCGAAAAACACTTAACGGGCAAAATATCGCAACTGCGGTCAAGTCTCCGCACATGCACCTTCGCAGGTGCGGTCAATACACCGCATCTGCGGTTCCTGGCTCTTCCTCTCAAATCTGCTTCTGCGGCTCCCTTTCCGCACATGCGGCGCCGCACCTGCGGTCCCCAAACCATGGGTGCGAAAACACCAGAAGCAGCAATCTCAGCAGCTGCAATAACACCTCAAACTCTCTGTTAACCACCCGAAATCACCCCGAGGCCTCCGGGACCTCAACCAAAAGCACAAACATATCCTAATACCTTATTCAAACTTGTTCCAATATCAAAACACTTAAAACATCATCAAATCAACCAAAACACCTCGGATTCAAGCCTAAGTTTCTAAAAACATCTGAATTCCGCTTTTGATCAAAAACCCAACCAAACCACGTCCGAATAACCTAAAATTTTGCACACACATCCAAAATGACACAACGAAGCTACTGCAACTCTCAGAATTCCATTCCGACCGCTATATCAAAATCTCGCCTACCAACCGGAAATTGCCAAAATATCAACTTCGCCAATTCAAGCCTAAATCTTCTCAAACCTCCAAAACCCATTCCGATCACACTCCTAAGTCCCAAATCACCTCCCGAAGCTAACCGAACCATCGGAACTCACATCTGAGCCCTCTAACACATAAGTCAACATCCAGTTGACTTTTCCAACTTAAGCCTTCTTAAAAGAGACTAAGTGTCTCAAACTTCACCAAAACAAATTCGAATTCAATCCGACCAACCCGATACCTCAAAATACAGATAAACAAAATATAAAGAAGTAATGGGGGAACCGGAGCGGTAACTCATGAGACGGCTGGCCGGGTCGTCACAAATGCTGATACAACCACTGAGTATCTTCAACTCCTGTTATAATATCAGGTTCTCCCCTTATCGCCATATAGTTTCACTAACTAGATAGGACACATAACAAAATAATAGACACCAGAAGTTTAAATACCTCCCGCCTGAGAAGAATGCACACCACACAATGGACTAAACCAAATATAGCCTAAGTGCGATAATATTATCCAGGGACATCAATGGTGACTAACTCTTGCAACAAAGAAGATGAATGTGAAAAGCATACTTGCTACTATTAGGCTGGCATTCTATCGAACAATGGAGGTACATGACATACTCGATTTAGCTCGATTTTAACCCCCAACAAACGAGCAACTCACCTATTGCAACATCAAAATCGATAACATAACAAAGTATAGTTAAAAACCTATTTACCCACATAATTACACCATCAACATCTAATATTGACCTAGAGATACGTTCACCATGAGAAATTTTTAAAAACTAGAATAAAAAGGAAGAAGCAATGAGTTGGATTTACCTTGAATCTGACCCCACAATAAAGAAAATTAAGAAACCTCGACTATTTAGACCTATAATAGCGAAGAAAACTAATGTAGACCAAGCGAATGAAACTGGGCAAAGAACGTTATGTTACAGTGCTTGAGGACAAACATTGGATGCCTTTAAAGCAAAAAAAAAAGCTTTGCCGTGGAAGGTTAGGTCGTCTGGAGGCGATTAATGAAAGTTTTGCCGGAGGATTTTTTGGGTTATCCCAAATTAATAAAGAAACTAAAATTAAAAATCTTATAGCGGTGGTTTCCCCCCAAACTACCAGCGAAAATATTCAGCGAGGAACGGGATCGAAGAGATGGAAGAAACTTTGGTTGAGTGTCCCTTTTTTGCTATTTCTTAGCGTCAACCTCTCGTCTTGCTCTTCCTTCTTTCAAGTAGTATGAACGACCAAATCGAAACACGAATTAAAAAATTATAGAAATCTCAATCGCGCCCAAATAGCATGAACGCCAAATTGGTTCTCATCTTTTATTTATCGAATTTGGTTATGGGTTGAGGTTTAATTTCATAAAGAATCCTTCTTTTTTCCTTATAGGATCTGGGTATTCTCTGGGTTATGTTTGCCAAGAGATAATGGAAGGTTAGAAATCAACTTGTTTATTTTTCCTAACTTATTGGTTAAAAGTTAATTAATTGTTATCGCATAAAATATATTAACAAGTAATGAAAAAACATAGAATGTAAAAAGAGAGAGGTTTTGGCGGGTTTCACGAAAATTGAGAGTGGAAATTACATTAGGAGGGAATTAATAGCCGTTCCAATTGAATTCTTTTTCCAGGATTCGTTGCAATAGATATATCTATTGGAAAGATTTAGATAAACGTTGCAACACCAGACACCAATCGAAATGGTTCCCACTCAATTGCAACGGTTCTATAGTCAAAGCGTACCGGTAGTACCCATTTCTTATTGCGGAGGTTACAACCGTTGCAATAATCCATCTATAGTAACGGTTTTTAAACCATTGCAAAAAAAATCCATTGCCATAGGTAATGCGTCTGTAAGAAGGGGCAGCATGACGAATTTTACAAATGAGAATAATGAGTTGATTCGTACAAGAACGGTCACCAGTTGGAGAGTTTGTATGGATTATCGTAAGCTCAACAAGTCACAAAGAAGGATCACTTTCCTCTTCCATTTATTGATCAAATTCTTGATTGATTGGTTGGCCGTGCTTTCTATTATTTCTTGATGTGTACTCGGGTTACAATAAAATTCCTACTGCTCTGGAAGATCAAGAGAAAACCACTTTTAAATATCCATATGGTACTTTTTCTTTCAAATAGATACTTTTTGGTTTGACAATGCACCTGAAACTTTTCAACAGTGTATGATGGTTATTTTCAGGGACATGGTGGAAGACTACATTGAGGTTCTTACGGACGACTTTTTGGTGGTTGGAGATTCTTTAGACGATTGTCTTGAAAATTTTGACAAAGTGTTGGCTAGATGTGAGGAAGCTAATTTGGTACTTAATTGGGAGAAATGTCAATTCATAGTTAAGGAAGGTAGTGTCCTTGGCCACAAGATTCCAAAGAATGATATTGAAGTGGACAAGGCGAAGATTGAAATTATTTCTAAGCTTCCACCCCACCTCGGTGAAGAGCGTACGGAGATTCTTGGAGTATGCAGGTTTTTACTATCGTTTTATCAAGGATTTCTCTAAAGTGGTGAACCCTTTGTGGAAGCTCCTTTAGAAGGATGCCAAGTTCCATTTTAATGATGATTTTATGAGAGATTTTGAACAATTGAAGCTCAATTTGACAACTACTCCTGTCATTACCTATCCAAATTGGCGTTTGTCGTTTAAGCTCATGTGTGATGCAAGTGATGTAGCAGTTAGGGATGTTTTGTGGAACGTGTAAACAATATTTTTAATCTGGTTTACTATGCTAGTAAGATCATGAATAGTTGCCATGTAAACTATACCATTACAGATATAGAGCTCATTGCTATTGTGTTTTCCATTGAGAATTGTTTCCCATACTTGATGGGTGCCAACGTTATTGTCCACATGGATCATGCGTCACCTCGATATCTTATGAGCAATGAGGAATCTAAAGCTCGGTTGGTGAGATGGGTGCTTTTGTTTCAAAAGTATGACATTGACATCCAAGAAACAAAAGGATGTAAAAATCAAGTGGCGAACCACCTGTCTCATTTAGAGGAAGAGGGGAAGCCGCAAGATGGCCTTGAAATCAATGACTTTTTCCCCGATGAACAAATTTTGGCACTTTCAATGAATTAGGTACCGTGGTTCGCAATTTTGGAAAATTTTCTTTTGAGTGGTATCATCATGGATGAGTTCTCTTCAAACCAACGGAAGAAGCTCACGAGGGATGTAAAGACTAATATTAGGACGAACAATACCTTTTCTCAATTTGCATAGATGGGGTGTTTCAGATGTGTGTGATGGAGGAAGAACGAGGTACGATTCTTGGAGCTTGTCATTCTTTGCCACATAACGATCAACATGGTGGAGCGAGAATGGTGGCCAAAGTCCTAAGTTGCGGTATCTAGTTGCCTACTCTCTAGAAGGATGCAAAGGAATTGTTGAAAATATGTGACGAATGTCGACGGGCCATTGGAATTTCAAAGAAACATGAGATGACTCTTACAACCAACTTGGAGATTGATATTTTTGATGTTTCGGTATTGATTTTATGGGTTCTATTGTGAGTTCTGGTGGAAACACCTACATTTTTATCGCGGTGGATTTTGTGTCTAAATGGGGTGAGGTCGTTGCCTACCCATCAATGAAGCTAGAGGTGTGGTACAGTTCTTGAAGAAGAATATTTTTACAAGATTTTCTACTCCATGTGCAATCACAATCGATGGGTGATCACATTTTTGTAATAATGTTTTGATGCTTTACTTAGAAACTATGGTATTACTCACAAGGTCATGACTCCCTATCACCCTCAAGCTAGTGGTCAATTGGAAGTCTCCAACTAGGAGATAAAGAGTATTTTGTCCAAGATGGTGAATGAAAATATGAAGGATTGGTCCAAGAAGCTTTATGACACACCATGTGCATATCGGACGGCTTGAAAAACACCTATTAGAATGTCTCCATACCAGTTAGTGTTCGGAAAAGCTTGTCGTCTTCCATTAGAAGAGCACAAGGCAGTATGGCACTTGAAGAAGTTGAATATTTATTGGATGGAGCCGCTAACTTGAAGGTTACACACTCGAGTGAATTGGAAGAGTTTTGATACCATGCTTATGAGAGATCGTCCTTGTACGAAGAAAAGATGAAATATATTCATGACAAGTATATTTAGAACAAGGATTTCAAGGCCGGTGATCTATTGTTATTGTTCAACGCAAGGTTGAGGATGTTTCCCTGGAAGCTTAAATCAAAGTGTTTGAAATTGTGGGTGTCACACCTTTCAGTGCATTAGACTTGAAGAACAAAAACAATGAAATATTTCAAGTCAATGGTCACCAGGTAAAGCACTACTTGGGAAAAGTTGGAGAGATCCATGTGGTGATGGTTATTTATTTCACTTGAAGATGCTATGACATTGCGTCATGCTACGACGTTAAATAAGGTGCTTCTTGGGAGGCAACCCAAGTTCTTTTCCTTTTTTTACTTTTAGTTAGATGTTATTTGTTGTTTTTTTAATTTGATTATAAGTGTGTTACAGAGATTAGTGTTAGATGCGAAATTGAAGACAAGGTTGTGTCATCAAGCCAGCAATGTGGACCACACTTTTTCTTTTTGCCCCGCAGAAAAGAAATATTGCCGCGAAAGCTTTTGTGCAGCTGCAGATTTCATCTACCGACTGCACTTACAAGAGATGATCTTAGATGCCAAATGGAAGGTCCTCTAAAATTTTATTCCGTCAATGCAAAGCAATAGTGTAGACTTTCATAAATTTGCAGTCGCAAAAGCACAACACCAGAGAGGTGGTTGTTATACATTATCAGATGTGCAGCCACACTGAAAAAAATGTGGGCCACACAACTGTGTTGTCCAGTGAAGGCGAGGTAACAGATTGCGGCCCGCACTTGAAATTGTGCGGCAGCACTCGCGTCTATAACCCTCCATATTCTCTGAGTATAAATAGACCATTATCCTCCATTTTACACTTTTGACATTCTTCAATTTCACTGTTACTCTGAGAAAGATTCTTGAGGAATTTGCACTGTCAATCACGCACAGCCATTTGTACTCACTTGGATCTTGGCACACTTACACTATCTGGTAAGCTTTTTCCTTTTTTACTTCATTGTAGGTCATCTGTTAATTCAATCCTTCGATGTAACCATTTAGGGTAGTTAGTATTGAAAAATGATAAAGCATGTGTAGATTGGGTTAAGTTACTTGATTTGCATGTCTGCACCATGTTGCCAAATAGAATTGAATGACATATTTTCATAATCTAGGTAAACATACATATCCCGTTTTTGTTCTTGATTGCGAGGACCACACTTGGAATTGTGTGGACCGTACTTGAAATTGTGCGGTCCGCAGACTATTGTTTAGGTTAACTGGTTGGATTACTTTTTGTGTGGACCGTAGATTTTGTTCTAAGGCCGCATATTTGATCCGCACTGATAATCGGAGACATTCTCTCAGAGCATCTCATGTGCGGACTGCATATTTAATTGGGGGGAACGCAGTTGAATTATATGCCCGCAGAAGGCCTGTACACTGTCAATCAGAGTGCACAACTATGCTGAAGTGTAGCCTGCATGTGGAATTGTGCGGTCAGTAGTTCCTTTTTACGTACACTTTAAATATGTGTACGACACTTTTCCCTTTTCTACTACATGATGTACTACCGAAATATCACTAATCTTATGATGTCCTCACATAGTTATATCATTCTTAACTGTTTGCAACTTGACTTTCTACTGACAAGTTTTTTTTGCAGATACAGATTGTGTTACAATCACGAGGTCAAGGTATATCTACCGAAGGAAGAGGTGAATCTTCAAAGGGAGTCATGCACCCAAGTGTGCAGAAGGAAATCTGTGATGACCTTTGGGTCATCACTTGTTTTTAAAATAAATTCTCAGTCCTTTAAAACCTCTTTTAGAATTCGATTCCGGGCATACGCCCAGTCCAGGCGTGTAGCCGGAAAGCCTATATGGGAAAATTTGTGAAAAATGATATAATTTGACTATAAAATGAATTAATTAGACTTCGGTCAATGCTTTGGATAAACGGCCCCATGATTTGATGGTCCCGGAGGGTCCGTAGGAAAATATGGGACTTGGGCGTATGCCCAGAATCGAGTTCCGAGGTCCCAAGCCCGAGAAATGAATTTTTGAAGAAAATTGTTTTCTGAAATTGTTTATAGGATTTGGAAATGAAATTCGATTAGAACATGTTGGTATCGGGCCCGTATTTTGGTTCCAGCGCCCGGTACAGGTCTTATATATGATTTAAGATAATTGTGTGAAGTTTGGTAAGAAACGGAATCCATTTGACGTGATTCGGACCTTAAATGCAAAATTTGATGTTTGAGAAGTTTTGAGAAATTTCATTGATCTTGAGGTTTAATTCGATGTTCATGATGTTATTTTGGTTAAGTCCATAGGATGTTTTTCAGGTTGTGCGTATGTTTTATTTGGAGCACCGAGGGCTCGGGTGAGTTTTGGATAGGCCACGGGGTGCATTTTGAACTAGGAAAAATTACAGGTTTTCAGCTAATGTGCACAGGTCTGCAGGCTTCGCAAATGCGACGCCTGGCTCGCAAATGCGAGACCTTCATCGCAAATGCGAGACCTTCATCGCAAATGCAAAAACAGGACCTGGTCAGGCCTGATCGCAAATGCGACCACTTGGCTCGCAAATGCGGAAGGCCAGTCGCAAATGCGACGCCTACTTCGCAGATGCGAAGCTTTCCTTTGATGCCTGAGGTCGTAAATGCGGCCAACCCTTGCTTTTCCCATCTCGCAATTGCGAGACTCCCTTCGCAATTCCCATAACAGCAGAGGTCAGGGTTCGCAATTACGAACCCCAGTTCGCAATTCCCATATCTGAGACCTGCAACTTTTATACTTAGCCGAATTTTTAACCCATTTTCATATTCTCTCTAAACGTAAACACACTTAGGGGATTTTTTAAGGATTTCTTCTTCTACAAATCAATTGTAAGTCGTTTTTAACTAACTTTATTCAATTTTTAACATCTTTTAACATGATTTCAACCTCAAATCAATGATTTTCATGGGGGAAATTGGGTGTTTTGGGTAGAACCTAGGTTTTTAAAAATTTGGGGATTTGGACCTTGATTTGAGGTCCGATTTTAAAACAAATCATATATTTGAGTTCATGGGGGAATGAGTGATCGGGTTTTGGTTCGAACCTCGGGTTTTGACCATGTGGGCCCGGGGGCGATTTTTGACTTTTTGGGTAAAACTTTGGAAAACTCATATTCATGAATTGGGGTTGATTCATTTAGCGTTTATTGATGTAATTAAGTAACTTGTGACTAAATACGAGTGAATTGGTGGTGGAATCAAGGGGTAAAGCTATAACTGAATCGTAAATTGTGTTCGTGACATCGAGGTAAGTGTTTGGTCTAACCTTAGATTGAGGGATTATGAGTTGTGTCTATTTGCTACGTGTTAATTTTGGAGTACAACGTATAGGAATTTCTTCGGACTATTATTTCTTCTGTGTAGTGACTCTTCGACTGTCTGTGATACGGTGAGACCAGGTTTTGGGTGGTTAAGGCTTGAGTAATTGTAAAAGACATTGATTCCAGATATTTTATTATTTTCTTCCTCTTAATTTAACTTTCCGCTGTTTATACGTTATCACTTTGTGTTTTATAAAAAGGAATAAATAAATAATGAAGTAATTAGTTTTAAAGAATTGGCTTGCCTAGCTCACATTAGTAGGCGCCATCATAACTCCCGAGGGTGGGAAATCCGGGTCGTGACAAGTTGGTATCAGAGCTCTAGGTTACATGGGTCTCACAGTTCACAGACAAGCTTAGTAGAGTCTGAGGGATCGGTACGGAAACGTTTATATTTATCCCCCAGAGGCTCCAGAGTTAGGAAAATTCCATATCTTTTCTCTCCTGTCGTGCGGTTTGGTTTCTCAATGCTGATTGAATTTCTATTTTGTTCTCTCGCAGATGCCGAGAACACGCGCTTCCTCATCTGCTGACCAGCAGCCCGAGCCCCCAGCAGTAGCTCCTACAAGGGGCAGCGGCCGAGGCCATACTAGAGGCCGAGATAGGGGCGGAGCCCAACCCCGAGCAGCAGCACCAGCAGCGGAGCCTCA